CAGCTCATTCAACGTGTCATGGAAGACTCCATGAAAATGCTTGATGAGCGTCAATGGGAGGGCCTGGACTCCATGATGTCCCTCTCTGCGGCGGGCGACGTGGCCGTACCGAAGCTAGAGATGCTGGATGTCAAGGAGGAGGTGAGGGAGGAGGTGCTGGACGAGCAGTCGGTCGCCGTGTTCCACCCGCACCTGGTGGGCCAGCAATGGAGCTGGTCGTGCACGGCCATGCACATGGCCGATGCCGTGGGGGCCGTGAACTGGTGCCGCACGCCGCCACGGTCACCGGAGCATGAGAGGTCGCCACGGGGTGAGGTGGTGCAGGCGCCTCCCACCTTCCAGGGACCATCACCCACCTCTGGATGCCTCCGGCGTACATTGACCTCACTGGTGACGAGGATGACAACGGCGACGGGTGAGGAGACGGCGATGGGCACGGCAATAGCGAGCGGGCGGCGCTTTTCTTTTGTTTTATTTTATGTTTATGTAAGAACTGTGCAATGGGGCATCGACGGGCCGTGAAGACTGTTTAATTATGTTTTATGTTTGCGTTTATTTGATTTTTTCGGCATTTCTTTGAGTTTTTGTGATTTTTTTATCACGTCAACCCCGAACATGATATGGGGTGCGGCCGCGTGTTGGCGCACCGGCACGGGAACGGCCCCAAACAGACATGGGCGACCCCATTGCCACCCCAAACGGACGAAAACAGGGCAAAACAGACGTCCGTTTGGGGTCGTGCGTTGGAGTTGGCCTAAGTGTAGCGACGTTCGCGGCGGTAGTTGTTCAGAGCCTTACAATCCAGCTTTGCTGCTATGGCTTTCTCTTGGATATTGACAAAGTGGAGGTTGTTTCTTCTCCTCTCTAGCGGACGCTCCGACGATGTCGGTGATCAAAGTTTTCGGTCATTGCGTGGTGGTTGCAGGGATGAAGAATAAAATTCTGCAAATTCCTTTTTGTGAGTGTTTCTGGTACTTTCTCTTGGTGTGATATCTCTTTGGATTTCTCACAAAAGATGTCACATTTGCTGCAATCGGCTGATGCTATTGATATTAATGTGCCTCTTCTATAAAAAAGACTTCTTTTATGATTATGGGTTAAGTTGATATAGTGTATTGCATAATGAAGTGTCATGTGAATAGATCATTTGGAAGAGAGAGGAGTGAGTGGCATATATCACGATGGGAATGGGCT